TATCACCCACCTTCCATAAAAAATGGTAAAAGTGGCTAATTGCAGTGCTTGTTCGATTACCTTTTCAGACAACAGCCATTTTAACTTTTAGGCGAGGACCAGACATTGCAACTTTTTGATGCCTTCTGCAAAAATAAAGGTTATATAACTGTAATATGACTGATGAAATAGGAACAGTAATGCATTACTTTACTCAGTTGCTATGAAGACGCAATGCATGATTACATTACTTGATATGGGATTGTTAAAAAAGCTTTTAGGGTCATAAGAAAACCACACTACTCTGCCATGTTTGAATAATGCATATTGTTGAATAAACATTAAAAACAAAATGGCCCAGGTTGAACGATCCACTCAGTAAAGGGCTCTTGGGAGTTTTCAACAAAGGCAGAGACGGGGGTGGCAGCTCTCAGGTGGATTATCATTGAAGTTCCTCACATGAGTTACAAACAAGCCCAGTGTGTATTCAGTGTAACACAGCAGATACCAGCTCTGCAGCTTTCATGCTTTCTACAAACAAAGTAATATTGTGCCAACTGTGGGGGCACAAACTGTGGTAGTAAAAATCACAATTAACATTAGTTAACAGTTTTAACTAAAACATATACATTATATTCTTAAAGTGATAGTTTCAACTTTTGAGTATCAAACTGTCACTTGAAATGAGGCTGTAAAACATTAGTATTCTTGTTTTTCATGGAGAAGACTGTGGTCTGTGTGAATTCAAGTTTTCACATTCGAAGTATCAGAACCTCTCAAAGCACCAGAACTAGAATTATTCTAAATATACTGTCGTACTATAGCTATTTTCAGACTCCTCGCAGTATGTTGCTGGGGTTGCAGGAGCTGCAGACATTCTGTCAATGTGCATAGATAGTTGTGAACATGACTTTTCCAAGTTGCAAGCCACAGACTTTATTGTGACATTGCGCATTCATTTGCATTTGTTGTATGTGAAACATAAATAAGTCCATAAATGCAGAGATTCATTTTGGACAAGGATTCAATCATTTTACATTGGCATTGACATTAATGCAATTTATTTACTTTGATGGTTATTATTGAAATAATTAACTAAAGTATCATGTCTGATTCCAAGATGGCTCAATCTGCAACCTTCACGTCAGGCAACCATCGTGGCTGTTGAAGCCAGTGCAGAAGTGACTTAGCATGTGGTTCCTCTACTGGCCACCGCGCGCTGTCCCAGATAAACTGTACCTGCATTCAACTGAATGAGAATACCTTTAACACATTTAATTACCACAGAGCAGTTTTATTAGTAAAAACTAAATGTTTTTTCATAGGTATTCAACATGAATTCATTAATCGCCTGTCATGCGAACATCCTGGTCCTCTGCTCACAGAATCTATGTACAGTGTATGGTCTCAGACAGGGCCACTCTTCATAAAGCAATGACTTGTGTATTTCACATGCAGTTTTTTACCAAAGATTGTCAGTACTGTTGGAGCAGCTGATAACTGACGTTTCCCAGACAGTGTTGTAAACGTAACGTGTCATGGAAAGTAAATGGAAAAGTAGAAAAATGTACACTTCTTAGGACAACATGCATTCCAATGTGCACATACAGTAGGGAGTCGCCACCGCATTAATGCCGACTTGTTTACTTCCGGTACTTCCCCGGACTCAAGTATAGTCAGTTTGCTTTGAAGATTTGGTGTTAATCATAAGTTCATATGTAGTGAACTCCTCGACACTGTTTGTGCAGTCTGTGTAAACTTGCTCCGCCAAGTATCTTATATTGTACAGGCGTAAGCGGTAGCTGCCAACATACCATGTGTGGTATATTTCCTCCAGACAGCTGTCATTTTCTCTGTACAGTTTGTGTCTGAAGTGTAATCATACAACTTCAGGATGAGTGCAAATTAACCAATCAAGCTGACACACTCTTCACTTTAATTTGCAACACCTAAAGCAAATGAGCACCTGTTAGCATCCACTAGCATCTTTGCATTCACTTTAACTGCAAAGTGCTTTTAGAATGAATTTAACAGAGAACTGACTTTGTTCCAGTCAGTACAAAAACATGAATGAGCTGCAACAGTTGAGTCTTTTTCATTATTAAAGCAGACACTATCTCCTCTCACATCTGTGGCTTAAACAACAACCCAAAACGGCCTCTCTCCCCTCCACTAATCTCCCTTTGCTTCTCGCCTTTATCTTTCACTTATCTTTAACTACATCTCAGACAATTTTTTTCAAGATATTTGAGAAATGTTTGAGATGTGTATCTTTTGTAGCCTTGAAGGCCAGCTTCCATTTCCTTTGATAATAGATGCAATCTGAATGCAAGGCACAGTGGGAAGATGTGAGGAACAAGGCTATTTTAGGGACAGCAAATTTGCACATGCTGCATCATTTGCCAAATTGTGTGATTTAGCTGGAGAATGGCTTCATATCCATCTCCTTATTCTAATTGTACTATCTATCTTGAACACTTGGTCCATAAATAAACTATTAGTTGTTTCCATGCTTTTTCTTTCTTAATGTTCTTTATCTTTCTTTCCATGTTCTTTTTGTCTCATGCTTGATCTTTGAACATTTCAGTCTCTCCCATGTTTGCCCTTTCTCTCTTCATCTATTAGACTTCTTCTACGTTCCTCTCATTATTCTGTCTGCTCTTCCTTTTTTCTTCAATTATTAGCCCTACAGCAGAGCATCTTACACAACATGGCAAGTAGAATATTGTATCATATTTTCCATGACATGCATCTTGGAGGCACTAATATCCAGGTCAGATGTTTGTGCTACAATTAATATTTCATTGACCCTAATAGCAGAAATTTCAGGGACATCTCTTCAGCTCAGAAAGTAACTTGGTTTTATTCGTTCTTTACAGAGAAAATACTCCATTTAGTTCATATTGAGGCACAAATATAACTGTAAGTGAAGTTCATTCTTCTTTGTTCACTTCATAAGACAGAATGCCAGAGTACGGTAGTATGAGAGAGTGCATGATTAAAAATATAACAGTGTTGACAAGTACAGAAATGCTCAATTTTTAAGGATATCAAGCAGCTGAGGCAGAAGTCCTTTGTTGTCAGAGCAGTTTTATTGCCACTCTGTCTGTTGCTATTCTGCATCCTGAAGTGTGTAGTAGGTTATTACACCTTTCCTCAAGTGTGTAGTTGTGCTATTTTGGGCGTAGAAGAAATATGACTTCATTCTTCATTGATCTACTCTATGTGCATTAGTGGTATTGTAGTTGAATCGTGCTGGAATATGGAATCATTATAGAGGATCAATGTTGGTCTTGGCTTTACAACAAGCCGCACACACACATCAAACACACAGAAACGTCACAGCTGCGGCCCCAACATGTATGCAAACTGCAGAATGAAAAAACTCTCACGATCTGCTGTCTTCATTAGCTAGCCGTTATTCTGGTATTACTACCAACATAAACATATAATCTCCTCCTTTCCCCACATACTTCCACGACTCATTTTTGCTTGTTCTGGCGGGGGTTTTCTTCTGTTCTTCTTCTTCTTCTTCTTCTTCTATGGTACGTATGCCTAACGTCCTGTAATTGGTCCGAAAGTCCGAACAATCCAAGAAGTGTTTTCATACTGTAAACGAACCGAACCATGGTTCAGTTTGATCCAGACTGAGGTCACCTCTTTAGTTTGGACCAAATTTTGGCCTTTTGATCCGGACCGTGGTCCGTGGCACCTTTCTCACCTACAATTTTGGTTCGGACCAAACTGAAAAGTCCGAAGGTCCGGACCAAATGAGGTATGTGTGAAAACACCCTTAGTTTCTTGTGACAGCCTTTTCCCCTTACTGTGTGAGTGGATGAATGTGACATGTAGCGTAAAGTGGTTGGAAGACTAGAAGGGCTCTATATAAGTACAGTACATTTACAGTTTAATATTAAGTAAGTACAGTACACAGCGTCCCATTATAGAAAGTAATGGATGAGGTGAAGGCAAAGAAGGCCTTGACATGAAGAGAAGTGGCGTCCCCTTCAAATCATTGACTATGCTGTGTTCAGTTTAACCCATGGTTAGGCCTGTTGTTTCTTTTTAAAGTTTTCAAATCTTTATTATTTCAGGAGATACTAAGTTTACATGGTGCATAGTCAAATTACAACATAACATTATTACATGAGGTTTAATACACGACATTAAACCCAGTATGGTTTAAGAGTTGTAGGAGTTAGTTGTGGGCAAAATACAATGTTGCTGACATACTGTAAATTCCCTGCTGTTTCATTCGTTTATGCAACAGGATGCATGCACAATGCAAGGAGAGTGGGAAGAACAGGGGTCACGGGCCATAGCTCAAATTTGCCCTGGAGTCAAAAACAAGAAATATATATATAAATGTATAAATACACATATATGTTTATTTATTTCCATGGGTATAATTTAAGCAAAAAATATAAAACATGTGTGCTATGCTTCTCTTTTTTATATAAGAAATAAAAAATACTGCATGTAAGCACTTTAATATTTTGAAAGAAGAGGCAATTGTAATTCTGTTCAACCAATGTAACCATGCAGAACGTCTTTAATATTTGATGCACCCACAAACCTAGTTGCTTTCAAACACACACACACGTAACAATGGTTATTATCAGAGCTCGGGGCCTTTGACTTAATGCAACCTTCCCTTTGTATCTCTGATTTTGCTGCTTCGAAGTTTAAATCCTCTTTCGCAAAACACCTGCGCTTGCTCTCTCCCTCACATTCCTCATCTCTTTCCCTCCACGAGACAGCCGGCACATTGCAGGCAGCTGTGGCTGCAGGTGTGGGTGGGAAGCAAAGGATGGCGATAGTTTTCTCTGCTGTCAGTGGGCTCTGCCACATCCAGTCCTCTGCCTGCCTTCACACGCTCCGCCTGCCACAAGCTGTGTACTTGACTGCCAGAAATGGGAACAAACATCTGCCTCTTTCACTGCTAATGTGGCATTATAAAATAAAAACAAAAAAAAAAAAACATATATTGTAAATAGATCTGTCCTTCCTCTGTTTCCTAGGTAACAGAAACAAGGACGGGACCTCTCGGCTGCAGTAACTACGACAGCTTGGATTCAGTTAGCTCGGTGTTGGTGCACAGCCCGGAAAATAAGATCCACCTAAAGGGTAAGGCGCACACACACACACACACACACACACACACACACACACACATTCTCTACCATATATTCATCTTGAATTCATGTGCACACACAGCCCGGAAGAAAAGGTCTACTGAAGGGATTGGATTTTTCGCACACACTTGAACATACACACATTGCTGCTACCTCCATCATCCACCACCCCGCCAAGCCTCTCACCTCCAGTGTGTAGTAGTTGGCCAGGATGACCCTTTACTTCACGCTGCAGTAGTTTATATGTCTGTTCTGCCTGACTGGCTCTCAGTCTCATGGGGAATCTGTTATCTCACCAGGCTGGTGTCTGACCACGCTGACCCCAACCTAACCCCTCCAACTACACCTGGAACACTCAGTACACAAGTAAAGCTCAAGTGGTAATCCATGGATTGATCAGACTTGATGATTTCAATGGGGGATAGTGGAATAAGAAACCTCTTTTTCACGTTCACTCATGCTGCAAAAGAAGTCCGGGTAATGATCTTGGCTTAATAACCTTATTAACTTTGCAGCAAATCGGGCGGTTCAGTTTAATGTGCGGTATAATGTTTTGCAGTGATACATTGTGTGCATTAATTATAGCAATTGTATTTACTTTGGCAAACAAGCCAGTGTCAGTGTCAGACTGTATCTGAAAACCATTTCACGAGCTTGTTCTGCAGTGAAACAGATGCAGGACACAGAGCTGTCTGGGTACACTAGTAGCAGATTGCACCTTTTGCCACCTTTCAGAATGTGTCTGGATTTGGAGCGACAACACAATGATTACCTGCACAGCCACACTGTTCAGCTAAATGAGTAAAAGCAAATCCAGTTTGCAAAAGGCACTGAAAAAAAACAATAGTCCAGATGAGTCAAACAAGTAACTGATTCAAACAGACTGCGTTTGAGTGACACATGGCACGAGGAGGACACAGACCTGACCTCGGGGAGAGCATGTGAGCCACGCACACAGCTGTTGTCTTTGCTGTTGGTGGCTGACATGTGTACCAGGATGAAGCAGGACGTGTTCAGTGAACGGTGAATGCTATACATACAGTGCATTCTGGGGTCAGTTTAACACAGAGAGGAACAAATGTGCCTGATTTGGTACATTTGATATACTGGAGGGATGTCTGACCACCATTCTCCACAACGATTATGCTTCTGCCCTCTACACATCTACCCAGGATTCAAAACTTAAAAGGCATAGGGCTTTTTTGTCATGGCAGTGAACTGGCAGTAATGGCCGATAATGCTGCAGTGTTGTGTGTTCATTCTGTTTGGCTGGTCTACATCTCTGGGTATGCTGATCCTGATGTGGGTGTGCATTCTTGCTGTTATCTGGAGAACGTCTGGATGAGATATGGAGACTAAAATATACAATATCAAATGTTATAAACTCACTGTTGAGCTACGACATAATGTGTATTATATGATGTGATAAAACTAAAATACATGTAGAAAGAAGTATAAAGACAATACTGATATCAGAGAAATAGCATAGGGATATTTAATAAAAATGTTACTGACATTACACATCAAAGCAAATAGAAGTAGAGTATGTTCTATAGAAAGTCACTTACAGTCACACCTAACAGATAATGTTCCACGTCAGTGATTCTCCACGATTCCCTCATGCTGATTCTTCTCACAGGTTTCTCTGCATTTTACACAAGTGTGCATTGCAAAAAACAGCCAATGAGGTTTTGCTGGGCTATAATTCTTAAAACTATCATATAAATCTAGTAACTGAAAAACTGTAATGGCCCCTAAAACTAGAAAAACAGCTAAACATGTAAGCAATGTGCTTATTAGAAGCAATAAAAACTTATTTAAGACAGACTTTCGTGAAATAAGTATCTTGGTCACTTTATGGAGCAGAGTTTAAGAATTAGTACCTTAATCTCTGATTAATAATTAGAAAAACAATCTTACAATAAGACTTAAGTGACACCAGAAGCATTCTGATTTTTACCATTCTTTAAAATTAAAACTGTCAAAACCGAACAGCTGCTACATTTCCAACACTGGGACCAGACTACCTTCTCTTAAACTGAGAAGTTGTGCAAGTGCTCTTCCTCTTAAAATAAGGAAAATAATCTTGTTCCTCTGCTGGGATATTATGCAAACCATTGTTGGAACTTGTTACTGGTTAAATCTAGCTCAATATGAGCTGTAATATCTTAAGACAAAGTTTGATATATTTTCTTAAAACCAGATTACTTTTCCAAAACATGCTTGAAAAGAAGAAGCTGTTAATACTTCATTGAGATTCCTTTTTTCCAGTGTGATGCTGAAAGTTGAAGCCTGCAGTGCACATACACTGAGAATGGACTTTTCATATCAGGACAGGAAATGTTATCCAAAGCAGATTTTTTTAAATGTGTTTTAATGCACATCTGGAGAGGATCTTTTCACCAGTCTGGCCACAGTCCTGAGTCCCTGCATAGTCCTTAAAAAGGTATTATACAAGTGAACCAGTGCTTGTTTGATAGTGTTTTTCACAAGCATACTTTAAGTTTTTATGCAGTTCTGTTCAATAATATAGCCCACGGAAATGGAATTAGTTAAATGAGCCACCTGAGGAGACTAAAGTTGAGAGAGCAGGAGACACATTGGCTTATTTTCAAGATGGCAGAACCCCAGCTAAATATGACTTGTTTGTGTGAAGTTCTGTGATGAGTTTCAGGATAGAAGTAGCTGACATACTGGTGCATGGACAACCAACCCACCTAATTATTTCCCCTCCTTTTCAGTCTTGTTAAATCCGGATTTGCGCATGTAAAGGCTTATCTTTCTGCCGGCGCTTACCGCATACCAACATAATTGTGGGAAAGCTCTGATTTTACGCTATTGTCTCATTTAGATGTTTTGACATCAGTTTTTTAAAGTCACTTGAAATTTTCCTCTGATTTTAGTTTTCATGGTATACTCATGCAAACTACCTTATTACAGTCTTCTTTTAAACAAAGCAAAAAAATACTCTTCGTGCATTGTATCACTGCAGTCACAGATACTATTTGTACTGCACTACTACCGAAATGATGATCACAACTTTCTCGTAGATTTTTGCACATAAGCACATACTGTAACAGAACAGGCTTGTGGGCAGACTTTGTAATGGACAAAAAGATTAAAAGAGCATAAGGAAAAAAAGAATATCAAAACACCATTATCCTCCCTGACCACCCGGCCTTGTCCTTTCCTTTAGGAGCTATCACATAAGGAATAATCACCAGCAATGATCTGTAACCTCTTACAAAAAGGAGACGAAGGGGGACCAAACTTTCTAGTCATTTAAGTTTGTCCTTGAGACTGTAGCCAAAGTGTAAGGTATCACACATTTCATTGAGCCACTGCCTCACAGTGGGTACTTCAGATATCTCAAAAGCTGAAGTATAATTTGTTTTTTTATTGTGAGGCCAAAGGCAATGGTGTTGTTGGAATGCAGTCAGTGTGGCCTGTGCTACTGAAATGATGAGTATTATCAGCATGGGATCTGGCTGCAGTGTTGCATCTAACAAAGTAAAAAAAAAAAAAAATAGCTTGGTTTCAGAGCAGTAACTCTGTGTAAAACCTTGAATTTGATTCTGAATTGTGAGGCTCTTTTCTAACATTTCATTTAGGTATTATTAAAACTCCCATACTAACTTGCTGACCTCCATGAAGGGTGACAGTTTTTTTTTATTTTCTTTGATGCAGCAGTCAACTCAAACTCCACATTTTCAAAACAGTTCATGCCAGTGCCATTTGTTGTCGAATTTGCCTTCTTGCAAAGAATTGGATCCAGAATCAGGAATGCTTTGATGCAAATTTGATTGATTCCATTGATTCTTTTTTTCAAACTGTGGCTGAAAACTGAAATACTGTAATTACACAAAATACATGTAAACCAGAATAAAATCTATTAGAGTATAAGAAATGAAGAAAATAAAAATAAAATCTATTACACTAAAGTATAAAAATCTATTAGTGTAGAGTCCTGGAACTGTGATAGTGGCCCTGTACCCAATGAGGTTCCTTACGTCTCCTCACTTTACAGAGATTGAAGCTGGCTTCATCAACATAAATGAAGACATGATGTGCCCCCTCAGCTTCAAGCTCCATTATTCTCTAAGTAAAAAAAAAGACAAAATGACAATGAAAAGTGACGCCGGTTGACTCTAACTGCATGATATGACAAGGCATTACAGTATACTGTAGTAATGTTTCCTTACCTCCACATATTGGTATCTGGCCTCCTTCACAACATCAGAGTTCCTTTGAAATGGAACTGTATAGAGCTGCTTCATGGCCATATGGTTCCTTCTTAGGATGCAGTCAATGGTGGTCACGCTCACGTTGTTGATGTTCCTAAACATGCCCTGATCTGCGACCACTGCTGCCCTGATTTCACGCAGCCTTATGGCATTGTTTGCCACAACCATGTTCACAATGGCTGCCTCCTGCTCAGCTCAATTCTCCCTCTACCACCAGAGAATGGTAGCCTTTGGATTCTATAAAGAATACATTTAATGGAAATGAGGAAACAATTACATAAAGTATATCACCGAAGCTATTTCTATATATACTCTACAGCAACATTACCTGTTTTCCTGTCGAAAAATTCTGACAATGGATGCAACAGTGTTTCTGTTTTGTTTGGACTCTTTGTCCAGCCTCTCTAAGTGAAAGGCCATGATTGATAACGTGATCAATAACAATTGCCCGAATTTCATCAGAAACCTGAGCCCTTCCAACTATACCTCTACCTCTACCTCTACCTCTTACTCTCACTCCCATCTGCCTTAGACCTCTTCCATCTATGTTGGCAAAGAACAACACAGACGCTCCACCTTTTAAGGCCTGCAGACTGATTGCTAATTGAAGATTTGTGTGAAGGAGTGTCAAACAGGTGCTACAGTGATTTCATACTGATGTAGGTAGTTTCTAATGGATCTAATGGTTCTAAAGGAATAGATGGTTTCTGTTTGGTTACCATAGCTAAAACAATGGAGTTTGGACTGC